ACTCTGTCAAAAAAAAAAAAAAAACCACAACAAAACAACCAAAGTGGTTAACTTAAATAATGTCAAACAGCTAGTCAGTGGTGGTAGCGGAATATAAATCCAGGTAGTCTGACCCAAGTACAAGTGGTCTTAAGTATAATGCCATACTATCTCTGAATAAATGTCCAGTAAATAAGGAAGGCTGGAAGAACACAAAGTTTATAACAACATTTTTTCTAGTAGAAGTCTTCTTTGCTGACTTTCTGATTCTCAGGTATTGTATCAATCAGCGAAGGTCACTAAATGTAAATATTATACTGCCAAGCCAAAGCGATCAACTGTGAAATCTATGCAAGCAAAGAATGACTACAGATGACATGCTCCAAAGACGTAGAAGCTTGAGAGATCTGTGTCTATTAGGGTCATCAGGAAGGGCTTTAAGAAGTTAAAACCCAAGCCCAAGCTGTGTAGAGGAAAAGGGATGAGTAAGAGAAGAGGGCATATTGTAGCTTAAGAATAAACAGAAAGCCTTTGTGGAATGGGGCTGGGGGAACATAAACAGATGAATACACAAACACATGTGTGGTTTGGAACAATTATTCCCCTGCGACTGTAAGCTCCTATTCCTGCCAGCTTTACTTCATCACTCAGACACCTGCACAAAGGCAGGTTACAGTTGGCAGTACAAATGGGGGTAGAATATGGCACCTAATACAAGGGCCAGATCTGAAGCTGTGATTCCACAGCTCTCATTAAATAATCCAGGGTCTTTAGGGGAAAAGAGGGGGTTGGGGGTAGAGGTGATCTACCCTTTACTATGTCCAAATCTAAAAAGGAAGGACATACTGACCTAGGTATGGTCTCATTTGCTTAGAAATCTTTCACTAGATTTAACCAGAGTCACCTCTAATTAGTGTAACTAGTGCCTCCAGATCCTCCATGCCCCTAGGAGTCACAAGAATAAGAGGTTGGGAAGCTCTTAGGCATCTCCCCCCTTTATAAAAGACACAGAAGCAAGTCAAGGGGAGCAGCTCTCTAACTCTGGGGAATGGAGGGTTACCATCCACACTTTATGGCAGAGACGGGACACATAAGCAAGAGGCCCAAAGTAGAAGCACTGTGCTCGACAGATTTCCTAGTCTTGCTTAACAATATTAACTATATGGCAGTTAAATACTCAGCAGAATTTCAACGGTCTGAGTGAGCACACCAAGAATAACTTGACCTGACCCGGGCATGGAGCCTTATGCCTGTAATCCCAGCACTCTGGGAGGCCAAGACAAGCGGATCATGAAATCAAGAGATAGAGACCATCCTGGCCAACATGGTGAAATCCCATTTCTACTAAAAATATAAAAATTAGCTGGGTGGGGTGGCATGTGCCTGTAGTCCCAGCTACTCAGGAGGCTGGTGCAGGAAAATCGCATGAACTTGGGAGGTGAAGGATGCAGTGAGCCAAGATTGAGCCAGTGCACTCCAGCCTGGCGACAGGGCGAGACTCCATCTCAACAACAAAAAAGAATAACTTGACCTGTACTTGAAGGTGGGAGATATGAGAATCTTCTCACTTTAGCAGGATATGCTGAGGGCTCAGATATCTCTGGAAAATCTCCAAATGCTATGTCAACAACTCATGAAAGACAGAGGCATCTCCAAACTTGTACAGTCTTGTCACCTCTCAAGACAGCAGAACTGCAGAGTGGCAAATCCAGGTAAGATCCAGAATCCAATTCATGCATTCACTGTATATTTATTGAACACCTGTAAGTTATCAGTTGAACTAGGGACTGAGAATACAAATATGACATACAGAAGTATATCCATCCATTATTATTTACTTTTATTATGCCCAGACTCTCAAGGGTCCAGGCAGGAAGTTCTCCTACTGCCCCGGGAGCACCAAATGAGTTTCCGTTCTCATTTCTGTGCCTCTGAACATGGGGTACCCACCTGAAACACGTCCATCATAACTCACCTACTCAAATCCGCACATCCTTCAAGGCCAGCTTAAGTCTCCCGCCTTCTGGAAGCCCTGACCTCCACTCCATCCCTCAATGATGTCCCTGTTGTCTCAACTGCTAGCAATTACAGTGAGTAATACCATCCACCATCCAGTTATTTAGAAATCTATTGTCCTCCAATTGATACTTTTATTTCTTCAACAACTCTTAAGTACCTACTTATGCTGCTTTTTAAAATCTTCCCGTAAAGACCTGGGTTGGTACTCAGTGCTTAATATCTATTAATAACAATTTACTAGAGCCTTAGCCTTCTGTGGTCCAAGCTCACTCAAACTGAAGTTACATAAAGTAATGGGGAACAAAAGCTAACGAAGCCATTTCTAAATGAACTTCCACTTCTCAAAAACCTCAAAAGAACAAGGAAGGAAAAAGAAATCAGGCTATGAAAGCGCTGCTGAACCAAGACATTTAACTCACACTCACAAAGCACCTCCAATCCCACTTTGAAGCCACACAAAACTGATCTTTCATCGGTCCTTGCAGCTCCAGATTCAAGCGTTTAACAGACCTTGGAAAAGTTTAAGGCATTCCGCCTTTATTTCTAGGTAAATAAGCTCCCAGATGACTCCTACATATGACACTTAGACTAATCCAATGAAGTTCACTACAAAGAACTACAATTTGAACTTCAAGCACAAGAGGAGCTCAAAGACATCTTGAACATGATAAATCCAGAGGCAATTTTAATAGAAACAAAAGCAAGGGGCCGGGCGAGGTGGCTCACGCCTGTAATTTCAGCACTTTGGGAGGCCGAGGTGGGGGGAGCAGAACACGAGGTCAGCAGTTCAAGACCAGCCAGGCCAACATGGTGAAACCCCTGCCTCTACTAAAAATACAAAAATTAGGAGGATGTGGTGGTGTGCGCCTGTAATCCCAGCTACTCGGGAGGCTGAGAGCAGAATTGCTTAAACCCGGGAGGCAGACGTTGCAGTGAGCCGGGATCGAGCCACTGCACTCCAGCCTGGGTGACAAAGCAAGACTCCGTCTGGGAAAAAAAAAAAGCGAGGTCCTGCGTAGCCTGTTGGGAGGTTCCAAGTTCCTTAAGAGAATCAACGAATTTCCTCCAGAGAAGCCTCGAGATTATACAGGGCGTGGGAGTTTCTGCAGGAGGTGAGCGAGATCATATGTATACATATGATACACATATTTGCTCTAAATTGGCTTTTGTGAGCAACGACAGCTGGCACCCTATAGCGAGCGAGGGTGAATCCTGGCTGTGCCATGCGGCGGAGGCTGCCACCTGGGCACTCCCACCATTCTTCGCAGCCTGGTCAGGACGGAAGACCAGGAGAGCCCGGAGCGGCGTGGACCCGGACCCGCGCGCCCTCCGGTTCCCCAGCCCGCGGGCCGCCTGCCTCGCCCCAGGCACGCCACAAGCCCACCCCGCCCGGGTCTCAGGAGTCCCGATCTCTCTGGGGACCAAGAGACCGGTGGGGGAGAAGGGGTCTGCAGGCAGCGGCCGGGCCCCGGCGCGTACCCACCTGAGCAGACTGGAGAGAGGGTGGCTGGAAGAGCCGAGGCCGCCACCGCCGCCGCCACCGCCGCCGCCGCCCCCAGAGACGCCGCCGCCGCCCCCGAAGCCTGAGGAGAGCCGCTTCCCGGACAGCAGCTTCTCCACCGCCGGGAGGTGCCCGGTGCGGGCCGCCTCCAACAGCTCCTGCTCCTTCCCCATCCCCAGGGCCGCCACCCGCTGGACCCCGTCCCCGGGGCTGCAGCCGAGCCTGCTCCGGCTCCCAAACTTTCCGTCTCCGGGCAACGCACCCCCCAAACCGGCTGGGGACACCACCCCCTCCCTGCCTTTTCCCCACGAGCGCGTCACTTCCGGGATCTGGCGTCACGCGTCACCGCGCCCCCGCGCCCCGCCCCCTTGCTCACCTAGCTGGGCGGGGCTCCACGGACCAGCGCAGGTGGACTTCTCTGGGCCGATACAGGCCTCTGAGGGCATGGGGACAGCGCCTTGTGGGCCCCTGTTGTACAGGTGGAAAGGGACAAACAGGCTCACCTGTACGCGCCTCCCGAAGTGCGTTCCTTCCCCAAGGGTTTTGGGAGCTCCTGGGACAGGAAATACGGTAATTCGTCCAGGCAGCTAGAAACAAAGAGATAAATATGGTAACGCGCACCTACATTTCCAAGTCCATTATTTCAGCAAACATAAATTAAATATGTAGTAGGTGCGGGTATCTAGTCATACCCAGGTGAGTAAAACGCCCTCCCCCTCGTACCTCAATGAGGGAAGAGAAGAAAGTTTTAAAATAGAAATATCCTCACCACTTCATTCATCCTCCCAGTACACGAAATAGTTCATTAAAAGTGAAACGTTCAAAGGAGACACCTTCCTCTCTTCAAGCTTTCCTCTTAGTTTTGATAAGATTAACCAAACTGATAGAAAACTGTCAGGTTTGTGGAAATCAACCTCAATCTTGAGTACCGGCGAACTGAAAAATAATCATTTAATTGGGTAGAAACTACATATGTTTTGTTCCCTGGTATTAGCACTGTTTCTAAATCGAAGTACGTAGTCAATAGTTGTGGATGAATAAATGAATTGGATAAATTCTGCTCAAGCTATATGACTTTTTGTTGTTGTTGTTAAGGTGCTTGCGGAATGCAGGGGAAATGCTAGCAATTCCATGTACACACAGGCCCACGGACTCTGGCCAGTGGAAATATACAAGGTTGAGTCCCTGCCTGAAAGTTTGCCAATCCCCGGTAGCCTCATTCCACGACACCGCCATAAAACGGAACTGAGTTTTTTCCCCAGTCCCCCAACTTTGAGGGGTTAAAGAAGGGATTAACTGACATTGCATTTTTAGATAGGCGAAAATGAAAAACTTCTTTAGTAAACAAAACTGCGCTCCTTCACAAGTGCTGGTTTCCTAGTGAGGAGGATCCACAATATGAACTCTTTACGTCCAATTTTCCCGCTCCCCACTGTTGCCAAACCAAAGTTAAAAGGAGTCAAGTCTCCTCTACGCGCGCCTCAAAATGACCCCTCAGGAGAGCGGTAGGGGTGATGTCATCGCGGCGCGACTACAGGAAGTAAGATCCTGTCCTGTGCAGCTCGGCATTCCGAGCTCCAGTCTCGGACAGTGCTGCAATCTCCTCTCCCCTCCGATCCTATCCGCGATGGACGATGCCCGCGAGTCGCCCACCGACAAAGGTGGAGAGACAGGGGAGTCGGATGAGACGGTCGCTGCGCCGGGGGACCCGGGGGCTACCGACACGGATGGAATCCCAGAGGAAACTGACGGAGACGCAGATGCGGACTTAAAAGAAGCTGCAGCGGAGGAAGGCGAGGTAGGAGAAGATGTGTTGAGGAGGCTGAAGGAATACCCAGAGATTGTGTTACTGGCTGCTCGCTGGGCTTCTGGTAGTCCCTCCCAAGTTAGGAGAACTCGAACTCACCAGAATTCCCTCCAGATCGTTAATCTTGAAGGGGAAGAGAGAAGACGACCAAACAAAACTCCAATGCTGGCTCAGTTCCAGAGGCCCAAGCACTGTGTTAATATTTTTGGTCTTGTTTTTAGGGATTAAAGCTACTTCTAAGGGACTTTTAATAGCTTGTTGGCTTTCGTGGTGAGGAAATTGGGATCTGATGTCACACTGAGACGTAGTGCAAGAGCTAAAACTCAGGATTCATAGCACCCGTTTCGCCCCAATCTGGTTCCTCTTAGATGTTAAGACAATTTTTGTCTTTACAGGGAGGAAGGTCGATCAGACCTGTCAAAGAGAGAGAGATTTTTATAGAGTTACAGGTTAAATCGTGTTATTACCCTCTTGACATTTAACTGGTACCGGTGACCTGGATGCAAATGATCAGAGATAGATAGATAGATAGATGCTAATGATCAGAGATAGATAGATTTTTAAAATTTATTTATTTTGTTTATTTTTGAGACGGAATCTCGCTCTGTCACCCAGGCTGAAGTGCAGTGGCGCGATCTCAGCTCCCTGCAACCTCCGCCTCCCAGATTCACGTGATTCTTCTGCCTCAGCCTCCCAAGTAGCTGGGATTACAGGCGCACACCACTATGCCCGCCTAATATTTTGTATTTTTAGTAGAGATGGGGTTTCACTATGTTGACCAGGCTGATCTCGAGCTCCTGACCTCGTGATCCGCCTGCCTTGGCCTCCCAAAGTTCTGGGACTACAAGCGTGAGCCACCGTGCCAGGCGATCAGGGATTTCTGTAGCATAAAAACACCAGACTCAATTGATGGATCTGGTGTTTTTATACTACAGAGAGTTCAGCAGTATTGCCTAGCTGAACATCGGTCCGGACCAGAAACTCATTGTTCTCTGGATTCCATTTCTAGAAGTAGAATCTTGGGGTTTAAGAGCCAGAAGGAAATTAAGAGATTATGGGGTGAACAGTAATTTAGATGGAAGTAAGCTTTCAGAGCGTAAAGTTGCATCAAAAGTTGCATAAAGTAAAACTTTTAGAAAAAGAAAATTTGACAAAAGTATTTTAAGGCAGTTTTTTTTGTTTTGTTTTGAGACAAGGTCTCGCTCTGTCACCCAGCCTGGAGTGCCAGGGCACAGTCTCTGCCTCCTGGACTCAAGCAATCCTCCTACCTCAGCCTCCCCAGTAGCTGGGACTACAGGCATGCTCCACCACACTCAGCTAAATTTTTTTTTAAACATTGTTTTGATAGAGACACAGTCTCAGTATGTTGCCTAGTCTAGTCTTGAACTCTTTGGGCTCAAGCAATCTTCTTGCCGTAACCTCCCAAAGTGCTAGGATTACAGGTGGCAGCCACCATGCCTGGCCAAGAAGGAAACTTTAAAACAGGTGTCAAAGACAGCAAGGATTTGAATAATTAGTCTAGTACACTAGAGAGCTCACTATATATATAAATTTGCACTGAACAGAGGATAAAATTATGATGTTTCTGAAACACTTTTAAAAATCAATCATGTACAAGACCACAAAGAAAAATATTAATTCTTAAAAGTAGAAATCATAACAGGCTACATCTTGTTAATGCAATGCATTAAACTTGAGATTAACTACAAAAAGCTTGTCTCTCACCAAAAAAGAACTAATCCCCTAGAAATTTTAAACTTTTAAAAATAGCCTTTAGACTAAAGAAGACTTTATCAAATTCTATGGGATTTGGGCAAAGCTTTATTTAAAGAAAAATTTATAACCTTACATATTTTTATTAACAACCAGAAGATATTGTAAATAAGCACCTAACTCAAGAAACCAGAAGAAGGGCCTAGTAGGGTGGATCATGCTTGCATACCTAGCTACCTGGCAGGCTGATGATGCAGGAGGATCACTTGAGGCTGCAGTGAGCTATGATCCAGGCTGGGCAACAGAGCGAATATGAAGAAAAAAAAAAAACCACAGATAAAAAACAAAATAAATCAGAAGAGTGTAGGAACAAGGAGTTAATAAGGATAGAAATAGACACTAATGAATTAGCACTTTAAAAAAACATAAGAAATGATAAAATTAAAACCTGATTCTTTGAAATGTAAATGTACAACATTACAAAATATGAAAGACTATAGGCACTAATATGGAGATATTTAAAGTTGTAAAGACATATAATGTTCAAGTTTAGGCCAAATAAATATGAAAATCTGAGAAAAATAGGTGATTTTTTTCTTTTTCTTTGAGACAGAGTCTTGCTCTGTTGCCAGGCTGGAGTGCAGTGGCATGATCTCGGCTCACTGCAACCTCTGCCTCCCAGGTTCAGGTGATTCTCTGCCTCAGCCTCCCGAGTAGCCGGAAATACAGTTGTGTGCCACCGCACCCAGCTAATTTTTGTATTTTTTTTAGTAGAAACAGGGTTTCACCAAGTTGGTCAGGATGATCTCGATCTCCTGACCTTGTGATTTGCCTGCCTCAGCCTTCCAAAGTGCTGAGATTACAGGCGTGAGCCACCACGTCCAGCCAATAGGTGATTTTTTAAAAGAAAATACAAATCACCAAACTTGAAGCACAAAGAAGTTAGAAAACTTGTATAAATCAGTAACTAAAAAGAAATTGAAAAGATTGTCAAAGGTAGACTACCTTCATCTCACCTATTCCCATATTCCTGTATGAGTTTAAATTCGAATTCTTCTTAAGAAAAAGCTAAATCTCATTAATGAATTTTGTAGCATACTTAAGGTTCTACATTAAATCAGAGGGGGTGAAGTTTGGATTTGGTTTTTACGGTTATTAAACAGGCAGTTTTTTAACTTTTAAGTTCAGGGGTACATGTGCGGGGTGTGTTTTACTATATAGGTAAATGTGTGTCACAGGGGTTCGTTGTACAGATTATTTAATTACCCAGGCATTAAGCCTAATATCCATTAGTTATTTTTCCTGATCCTTTCCCTCCTGCCACCCTTCACTCTCCCGTAGACCCCAGTGTGTGTTCCTCTCTGTGTGTCCATGTGTTCTCATCATTTAGCTCCCATTTATTAGTGAGAACATGCAGTATTTGGTTTTCTGTTCCTGCATTAGTTTGCTAAAGATAATGGCTTCCAGCTCCATCCATGTCCCTGCAAAGGCCATGATCTCCTCCTTTTTTATGGCTGTATAGTATTCCACAGTATATACTGGAAAATACATTTTCTTTATCCAGTCTGTTATTGATGGGCATTTAAGCTGATTCCATGTCTTTGCTATTGTGACTAGCACTGCAATGAACATAAATGTGCATGTGTCTTTATAATGGAACAATTTATATTCCTTTGGGTATATACCCAGTAATGGGATTGCTGGGTCGAATGGTAATTCCTTCTTTAGTCCTTTGAGGAATTGTCATACTGCCTTCTGCAATGGTGAACTAATTTATACTCTAACCAACAGTTTAAAAGCTTTCCTTTGCCTCCACAGCCTTGCCAGTATCTGTTAGTTTTTGACTTTTGAATAGTAACCATTCTGACTGGTGTGAGATGGTACCTCTTTTTTTTTTTTAAGACAGCATTTCACCATGTTGGTCGGTCTGGTCTCGAACTCCTGACCTCGGGTGATCCACCTGCCTCAGCCTCCTAAAGTGCTGGGATTACAGGCGTGAGCCACTGTGCCCAGCCGAGATGGTATCTCTTTATAGTTTGTTTGTTTGTTTGTTTGTTTGTTTTGAGATGAAATTTTTGCTCTTTTTGCCCAGGCTGGAGTGCAATGGCATAATCTCGGCTCACTGTAACCTCCACCTCCTGGGTTCAAGTGATTCTCCTGCCTCAGCCTCCCCAGTAGCTGGGATTACAGACCACCATACCCAGCTAATTTTGTATTTTTAATAGAGACGGGGTTTTACCATATTGGCCAGGCTGGTCACAAACTCCTGACCTCAAGTGATCTACCCGCTTCGGCCTCCCAAAGTGCTGGGGTTATAGGCGTGAGCCACTACGTCAGGCCTCAGTATGGTTTTGATTTGCATTTCTCTAATGATCAGTGATGCTGAGCTTTTTTCGTATGATTGTTGGTCACACGTATGTCTTCTTTTGAGAAGTGTCTTTGCCTACTTGGGGTTGCCTACTTGGGATTTAAACAGGCATTTATTAAACAGCCAGCATTAGTAAAATTGTGTTAAATGCCGATAGGGGAAAGATATAAATAATAAGAGACAAACCTATCTTCAAAAAGACTAGTAATATGAAGTAAATATTTGCATGAAACAGTAGGACCGAAGGATAAGAACGAAAGAGCACTACATGTGAGAAGCTCACTTGAAAGTTCCAAATAACACTGTTTTGATGAGAAGAGGCCTCCTTTTTAATATTCTATATGGAATCAGCAGCAGTAAAGAGATCTGTAGATCTGGAGGCAGAAGAGCTGGCTGGATGGAGGGGACTTTGCTGACATCCCCTCTAAAGAATAAGGTCAGAAGAGTGGGCCCATGGGGAGAGAGATTCTTATGATCCTTGGCATTTCATTACCCTTGTAAACAGATACTGGAGCTGTGCTCATAGCTGGACTGGAAAGCTAGATTATTTAGCAGCTTTTCTTTCCATGAGCTATAATCTTCCCTGAGGAGAGATACTGTATTGTACACTTGATGGTACAGTCAGTTCCTAGAACTGAAAAACTACTCAATAAATGGATTTGTTATTTTGTAATAAGGATAATGTCTTCTTACTTTGCCCTAGCCTGGAAAGTAGGGCAAATATATAATAGAGTTTCTTTCATCTTCCCAGCTCAAGAGTCAGGATGTCTCAGATTTAACAGCAGTTGAAAGGGAAGACTCATCATTACTTACTCCTGCAGCCAAAAAACTGAAAATTGATACCAAAGAAAAGAAAGAGAAGAAGCAGAAGGTAGATGAAGATGAGATTCAGAAGATGCAGTAAGTCACCTTCTTATCATTCCCCATCTCAAGGCTCTCACTTGACCACACAAATTTAATAAATTTTTCTTGGCCTTTTTTTTTTCTTTTAAAAACTCAAAAGAAAATGAAATGATTAGTGCATTATGGCTGTGCATAGTGACTCACACCTGTAATCCCAACACTTTGGGAGGCCAAGATGGGAGGATCACTTGAGGGCCAAGTTTGAGACCAGCCTGGGCAACATAGTGAAACCCTATCTCTGTACTGTTTTATGTTATGTTATGTCATGTCATGTCTTGTTATGTTTTTATTTTTTTTGAGACAGAGTCTCACTGTGTCACCCATGCTGGGGTGCAATGGCACAGTCTTAGCTCACTGCAGCCTCTGCCTCCTGGGTTTAAGCAATTCTCATGCCTTAGCCTCCCAACTAGCTGGGACTACAGGGGTGTGCCACCACGCCCAGGCTAGTTTTTGTATTTTTAGTAGAGACAGGGTTTCACTATGTTGGCCAGGCTGATCTTGAACTCATGGCCTCAGGTGATCACCCTTGGCCTCCCAAAGTACTGGGATTACAGGCATGAGCTACCATGCCTGCCCTTCTTTTTATGTATTTATATTTTCTATGCTGTGACATAATCGTTTTGAAAAAAAAATTTTTTTAAATAGCGGCCAAGCGCAGTGGCTCATCCCTCTAATCCCAGCACTTTGGAAGGCTGAGGTGGGTGGATCACCTGAGGCCATGAGCTCAAGACCAGCCTGGCCAACATGGTGAAACCCTATCTCTACTAAAAAACACAAAAAATTAGACCGGGCGCCATGGCTTGTGCCTATAATACCAGAACTTTGGGGGGCCAAGGCGGGCAGATCACCTGAGGTCAGGGAATTCAAGACCAGCCTGGCCAACATGGTGAAACTCTGTCTCTACTAAAAATACAAAAATTAGACAGGCATGGTGGCGCATGCCTGTAATCCCAACCACTTGAGAGGCTGAGGCAGGAGAATCGCTTGAACTGGGACCCGGGAGGTGGTGGTTGCTGTAAGCAGAGATCGCGCCACTGCACTCCAGCTTGGGCAACAGATGAGACTCTGTCTTAAAAAAAACACACACAAAAAAATGCAAATTCAAAAAATTAGCTGGGCGTGGTGGTGGGTTTCTGTAATCCTAGCTATTCAGTAGGCTGAGGCAGGAGAATCACTTGAATCCAGGAGGCAGAGGTTGCAGTGAGCCAAGATCGTGCCACTACACTCCAGCTTGGGCAACAGAGCCAGACTCTCTTTCTAAAAGTTAGATAGATAGATGGATGGATGGATGGATGGATGGATGGATAGATAAAAGAAAAAATCACCTTATCACAGAGATACATCCCGCTTATGTTAAAAGTTTCAAGAGAATTTCTATACATATATATCTATAAATAATTTTTTTTTTCAAAAATGTCAAATACTCTTTTATAGCCTATTTTTCACATTAGATATGGTGAATATTTTCCATGTCACTAATTATACATCGAGGTCATAGTTTTCTTAGAAATGGAAATAGCTTTATTATATTTTCTGATTGTAAAAGTAGTATGGGCTCATTGCAAATAATTCAAAGAATACAGAAAAATAGAAAAAATTACCCAGAGACTCACCACCCAGAGTTTACTCTAAGTATGTATAGTTGGGTATAATATATGAACCTTTTCAAAGTTTTTTTTAGATGTTTGCTATATTTATAGCTAAATATTTTCATGTCAGTAAATATGCTCATAAATCATCATTTTCATGGCTACATTGTATCCCATTATGTTGTTGAACTATAATTTAACCAGTTCCTGTAGTGGTTCTGGTTGGATTATTTTTTTTCTTTTGACATTACGAGGAGTATCTTTGGACACATTTTTGCATACTTGTCTATTTCTTCCAGTTACCTCTAGGAGGTGTAATTGCTAGTTCAAATAGTGTGAACATTTTCAAAGGCTTTTCATATGTATTTCCAAATTTCTCTCCAAAAAGATATTCCAGTTCTCTGCCAGCATGTATGGGTTTGTGCCCCATATTCTAATAGCATTCCTTTTTAATAGTGATCTGATTTGTGAAAAATGTTATCTATGAAAATAATATTTCCTTGGTTAATAATAAAGGTTAATTTGTTCCCCCATGTTGATTGACCATTGGTGTTTTTGTAAATTTCCTGTTCATATCCTTTGTTCATTTTCATAAATTGATATGGCCCCTTTATTCATTTGAAAGAATTAATTATACATTAGGGGTATTAACTGTTTCCATATATTTTGCAGACATTTCCCCTAAATCTGTTAATGTTGAAAACTACTGGTTTGATTATAAATTTGTATATTAAATTTTTACTATCAGTATAAAATTCAGTAAGGTAGAGTTATGGAGATTGAGTCTAACGCTGAAAACATAGTCTGTATTGTATGATACAGTGACCCAATGTTGTTTTCATCGTTCTTAAATGGTAAAAAGTTTTTATTTTATGTTTCCTCAAGTTTCTTAGGAGTAGAAGTGTTTTATCTTCATTCCTCAAGGCACCAAGCCTAATGCCATTGACCCCATAAGAATTTATCTGTCTGAGACTTTTATTGACTTAATAATATCTTGAGTATTCATTCTTATAAGTTAACTTAGTTACCTGGATCTTTGTCTAGAATCCTGGTTTCTTCTTTTTCTGAAGAGCAGCTGAACCGTTATGAAATGTATCGCCGCTCAGCTTTCCCTAAGGCAGCCATCAAAAGGGTAAGGATGGCCCACCACACTTCATTTCTATCTTGCATTAGAACCGAACTTAAGAGCCATGTCTATTGGCATTTGAAGTGAGGTGTTAGACAAGTCAGTGAATGATTTACGTGGGGAAAAAAAATGTCCCTCAGTTATCTTACCTTCTTCTGTGAATTAATTGGTACTGTGTTCAAAGCCAGTCTTTGACTATCATAATCACAGAGTCTTTGTCCTTCTTTCAAGCTGATCCAGTCCATCACTGGCACCTCTGTGTCTCAGAATGTTGTTATTGCTATGTCTGGTATTTCCAAGGTTTTCGTCGGGGAGGTGGTAGAAGAAGGTGAGTAGTGTTGGTTACAAATACTGGATTGTACCTGTGGTGATCTTATTTTTAAGAATATCTCTACAAAGGAACTTATTAGAGCTCCTGTACAAGTACTTATTTGCACTTGAAGTTGACCAAGTGGGGAGCCCTGTATTCAGGAACACAGGACCATTATTCCTTGCAAGTTTCAATAACAGATGGCAAGGAACCATCTGGGAAATCCCCTCCCTGATTCCTCAGCCCAGGGTGACAGGAGTAGATTTTTTTTTTTTGAGACGGAATTTCGCTCGTTACCCAGGCTGGAGTGCAATGGCGCAATCTCAGCTCACCGCAACCTCCACCTCCTGGGTTCAAGCAATTCTCCTGCCTCAGCCTCCTGAGTAGCTGGGATTACAGGTGTGTGCCACCATGCCCAGCTAATTTTTTGTATTTTTAGTAGAGACGGGGTTTCACCATGTTGACCAGGATGGTCTCGACCTCTTGACCTCGTGATCCACCAGCGTCAGCCTCCCAAAGTGCTGGGATTACACGCGTGAGCCACTGTGCCCGGCCTAGATTTTTTTTCTCTCCAGTGGACTTTGCTTATTTCTGCTGCCAAAAGTAAAGATATAAGAAAAGCATTGTTTCCTATGATCCATGTTAGAGGAAGTTAAAAAAAAAAAAAAAAGCAAAGCAAAGCAATCACAAGGCTGACCTGTGTGGGATAGTAAGTTGTCCCTAATGTTGTGAACCCTGGGAACTGCCCCCGTTATTGAGTAAAAAGCCTGGCTGTTTCCCATTGCTACTCTAGCTGGTGAAATTTTTTATTTTTTAAGCAGGATATATATACTTTTAAATTATTACTATTTTTTGAGACAGGGTCTCGCTCTGTTGCCCAAGCTGGAGTGCAGTGGTGTGATCTTTACTTTTTTTAGTGTTTTTTTTTTTTTTTTTTACAAATCATAAATTAAGATGGTGTACAAAACGAGATGGTAACAGTGGTGTGATCATAGCTCACTACAACCTCAAACTCCTGGACTCAAGGGATCCTCCTGCCTCAGCCTCCCAAGTAGCTGGGACTGTAGGCATGCACTACCTCACCTGGCTAATTTTTAATTTTATTTTTATGTAGTTATTTTTTTGAGAAAGGGTCTCACTCTGCTGCCCAGGCTGGAGTGCAGTGGCATGATCATGGCTCACTGCGACAGCAGCTTCTGGACTCAGGTGATCCTCCTGCCTTAGCCTCCTGAGTAGTTGGAACCACAGGTGTGCACCACCACCCTGGCTAACTTTTTTATTTTTTTGTAAAGACAACGTTTTGCCATGTTGCCCAGGCTGATCTCAAACTCCTGGGCTCAAGGAATCCTCTCACCTTGGCCTCCCTAACTGCTGGGGTTATAGGCATGAGCCATAGCATGCGGCCTATAAGAAATATGTTTTAAACTGTTGTCTGTGATAAAGCCTGATATGAGACGTTATACTAAAACTAATGTGATACATTTTATAGCATTCTCTTAAAGTAAAAATGTCTTGGTTTATTATTTCCTTAGCAAGCTTAAGAAAGGTTAACGAGAATTACAGGACTCAAAAGGATTATGTGATTAGTAAATTCTTGTGTGATAATAAGACTTTCTCCTTACCCTCTGTTTAGCACTGGATGTGTGTGAGAAGTGGGGAGAAATGCCGCCACTGCAACCCAAACATATGAGGGAAGCCGTTAGAAGGTTAAAGTCAAAAGGACAGATCCCTAACTCGAAGCACAAAAAAATCATCTTCTTCTAGACCAAAGTCTAGAAAGGCCTATTACTGACAGAAGAAGTATTGGTTCCAGACCTCCTATAAGACTGTCTGCTGGTGCTTTAGTATCTCAGTCCTCCAAGGATTCCATGATTTTAATCTCTTAAAACTCTAATTATTTGTCACACCTAGAAAGTATGTAGCCTGTTTGATGTTTGCCTTGACTAAATTTTGGGACATCTTGGGGCATTTTGAAGTATTTAACTGTCTTGGCCAGTTGGAAGATGTGTGGGCCATAAACATCTTCTGGACAGAACTGCTTTCAGAGAGAAAACCTTTCCAAGAGTTTTTTTTTTTTTTTTTTTTTTTTTTTTTTTTTTTTTTTTTTTTTTTTTTTTTTTTTTTTTTTTTTTTTTTTTTTTTTTTTTTTTTTTTTTTTTTTTTTTTTTTTTTTTTTTTTTTTTTTTTTTTTTTTTTATAGGGTCTTTCTGTGTCACCCAGGCTGGAGTGCTGGAGTGCAGTGGCATGGCTGCAGCCTTGAATTCCTGGGCTTAAGTGACACTCCCACCTCAATCTCCTGAGTAGCTAGGACAATAGACACACACTACTGTGTCCAGTTAACTTATTTTTATTTTTTATGGACATGGGGTCTTGCTTTGTTGCCCAGGCTGGTCATGAACTCTTGGCTTGAAGCAGTCCTCCTGCCTCAACCTCCTTAAGTGCCAAGAGCTTTAATGGTTTCACATTGAAGCCTAAAGTTGCTAAGACTTCGTTTGTTTCTTACATCTGGTTTTAAGTAGATGAAACAACCAGAAACTTTTACTTGTGAACTCTACCATGAAGGACGTGGTAAAGGCAGGAATTGTGGAATAATTGGTGCTTGTAAACATTTAAGGTTCTCCTCTGGATTTTGGTGAGTGATCATTAAACTGTTTTCCAACTTATCTTGTGTATTGATTTTCTGTCTAGCTGGTTGTAATAGGAAGTTGATTATTCTTTTCTAGTGTTCCAATACAACTGGTTTTGGCTATTTTGTGAAAATTTGAGTCCTTTTTCTAATAAAACCATTAAAATTTTATCTCATAAAAGAGTACTTCAAGCACTGTTAAAAACAATGTAATAATCTTCTCCCCCTAAAACTGAGAAGAAAATAAACAATATGAAAGCCCATATATTTCAGATGCTTATCAACAGATATACGACAACCATTATGATTTAATAAATTTAATTTGTTTTTACAGGTGGTTCACAGAACCAGTACACTCAAGGTTTGACTAGATATTGCAACATTGAAATTTCCCAATACTGACCGGGATTCCAGTTCATCAGATAGATACATTCTCATTGTTTTTCTCAAATAGAGGGGAATGAAGTGACCTTTTGTTGACAGTGATTAGCAGTAATAAGGCTACTGTATATAATTGGCAATCCCCAAGAATTTTTCCTCTCTACCGAAGCTGTTCTCTTGTGAAGCTTTCCTGAGCATGTCTTAGTAAAGATTCTAATTCTATTTAGCACCCTCAGTGGGGGAAACAGTTTGGACTCATGAAGGTGGGCAAATCTGACTTTTAGTATCTTACATTAAAACCCATGGCTTTAAACATGTACTTAGCCAATGGAGAAGACACTTCAGTGGGGCATTCCACAAAGAAATGCTTTAAGACTAAGGCTACATCTTGACCAAAAATTAATAAACTGACAAAAAAAGATACTCTCTCAGCTCTAAAAGAATTTTTTTTTTAGCAGTTGCAGGAACTATATCTATTGCAATTAGAGATACTGAATAAGGCCGAAACTTAATAAATAACAAGGGAGGAAGATCAAATCCCAAGTCTGGCCACTTAGCAAAGCCTCACTGTTAAAGGTTATCCAGGCTGGGCGCAGTGGCTCAAGCCTGTAATCCCAGCACTTTGGGAGGCCAAGGCGGGTGGATCATGAGGTCAAGAGATCGAGACCATCCTGGTCAACATGGTGAAACCCTGTCTCTACTAAAAAAAAAAAAAACTACAAAAAATTAGCTGGGTATGGTGGTGCGTGCCTGTAATCCCAGCTACTCAGGAGGTTGAGGCAGGAGAATTGCCTGAACCCGGGAGGCGGAGGTTGCGGTGAGCCGAGATCGCGCCATTGCACTCCAGCCTGGGTAACAAGAGTGAAACTCCGTAAAAAAAAAAAAAAAAAAAGGTTATCCAAGAGTGTTTCCCCTTGTGCCATGGGGAAAATAATTTCCATTCAATAGCTACTACCTATACCTACCCAGAAATGCATGGGAATATTCCTATTCTGACAGAAGGTAGGGGAGCAACTAGGTAAAGGCCTTAGTCTCAAAGGATAGCGCTTCCCACCAGATTCTCTCTGAAAGCCTTAATAATGACTATGATTAATCATGAGGCAATGACACAGCTTTTACTGTTCTCAAATAACCAGATGACATCGAACTAACTTCTGTACCAAAGTTCAGTTGTTTCCATAGTTTTAATGATTTTACTCTGATTTTAGAAGTTTAGGCAAATTTTAAATAAATGACAGAGAAGAAAAAACTAGGGTAAAGGTTTAGAATAAAAAGTTCCCATATTACTATGGCAATACTTAAAACTACCTTCTTTCCACTACTGCCCATCCCCCAACCCGTTTACCACTAAGGGGAAAGTAATCTAAGTGAGTTAAATGGAAGCGTTTTAAGTTACAGGGTATGTGAGGGGTGGTGTTTATCCCTTGTATATTCCATATATGGGAGCCATTCATTTCAGAACCATAAAAAGGGGACATAAAGGTTGAGGCCCATGGCAAAATGAAGGTTAGATGAAACAGATGGTAAAAAGCAGACATCATGTGAATAGAACCCACCTGTTTTATATCAAGGAAACTAGGTTAATTATTCCAGTGAGTTGAAAACAGAATTTGGGATTGATAGCCATCTGGGCAGCCCAGTTAAAGAGAGGATTTAAACTCTAGTCCATACACACTAAAGCATATTCCCAGCACATACATGTAAACAGGAAATGTAGACAATCATGGATAATACATAGTTGTAAATGCTTCACAGCTGAAATGGTAATGTTCAGTCACTGAAGTCTTTGAGGGATAGTGGTGCTATCTCTCCAGACATCTTCTTGAGGTATTGTTAGTTCTTGTTCCAAGTCTTGCAGCTCTAAGGCAGAAATCATAAGCAGCCCAAAAGGGCTGACATTACTACTTTTCCCTTGCATATTTTCCTTTACACTTATCCTGAGGACTACCACTCATTCACATTTCTTCATTATGAACAGGAATATGAAATTAGGCAAGTTGATTTTTACTAAAATCCCATAGGATAACCCCTATCACATTTCCTGAGGGAGGATTTCAAGACACAATGGCCAAAGCTGCCACATGAGGAAAGCCAGAAATTCTAAGGCTCCATTTGTCACATAGACAAGAGCTCTAGACTCCTTCAGAGAGCCCAGAGACCTAACTGAGCTCCAGCCATTAAGAGGTTAGCCTTGGTACTTAATGGATATGTTTTTACTGTCACCCTACAAGCACAAGTGTAGGTAAAGGTATACCAAGAAATGCCTATTAGACATTTTCTTTGCATGGAGGGACGCCAGAGGGATATGGTAGGTGGGGGTAGGAGGGGCTGAGAAGCGAATCAGAATATGATTTTTAACCAATTCAGATGAGCATAAGGTTGAATAAATATATTTTCCAGCTACCAGATCTCCCTCCTCCCCCTTCAAGAACATTAGAGATTCCATACTTAAGACCAGTGATCCATTCAGATCAACACTCTGCCTTTGAAAGAGGCACTAAGGAATAGTTTGTCAAGGGACCCAGTTGCCCTCTCAGTTGTGTATTACTAAGTAGCCCTATTTTTCTATAATCCTTGTAGAAGGCCGTCACGCAAGGATTCCTCATACACCTGCACCATGTATAGTTTCTGCTGCCATCACTTCTTAGACAATGAGCTCCTTACATTTCTGATTTGCTATGAGAGGTGCTTTCTTTACCTAAGGCTATGAGATAGACCCCTACAGCCAGTAGTACAGGACTGGGTCCTTGCTCTTGATTGGATATTTGATCTAACTCCCCTCGGCTTTCATCTTTGCAGGATAGCGTTTATATTTTAAAGATGTGTCCTCATATGGATATACCTCCACCCCCTGATAATTTTTGCTGTTCTCTTAACCTTTCCTCCATCATATTTCTTGTAAATAAGGTCAATAGAAACATAGATAGTTCGATCAAGACATATCCATGATTTTGTATAAACCACTGTTCTCTGTTGTCTCCAAAAGTCCTTCCTGATGATGCCCACAGGGCAATTAGGCTTTTAGCCACGGCAGCACATTGGTCTCTCCTCCCCTCAGCAATGCTTCGGTTTCTTTCCCGAGTTCTAATAGCGTTCAGGTATATCAACTGGTAATTCTTCCATAAATACATTTCCTTATACTATGTTGAACCTCACCTGTCAGATTTCTGAGTATTCTCAGCACTGCTTATTGTAACCTTTCTCTGGTTTTCTGTTTTTTAAACCTCTTCTAGTCTACCTTTCACTGCCTGGAAGTAGTGACATTTGATTTCATTGTAAAATCCTACTTTTGGGTTATTTATAAAAATTTTAAATAAGGTTGAACCAAGCATCAAGCCTTAGGTAACTTCCTATTAGCATTTTCTCCAGAAGGATGTTTCTTTGTTCCTAAGTCTCTATTTCTAAAGCATGAAAAATTCCCACCCTCCCATAGTAACTGCTGCTTCAAAATTTGCCTTAGTAAAGAAACTTAACAAAAGTCCTTTAAAAGTCTGAACAAATTAAGTCCTGTTCCTTGGTGAATACATTTTTTTTTTTCCTAGTCAAGTGAAGCATTGAGAGTGGAGAAGGAACAAAGAAATCTATGATTGGTTGTGATCAATTAGTTATAAACACCACTGCAATTACATGTTTCTTTTTATCCTTATCAACCTAGAGTATGCAAGTCAAGCATAATTTCCCATTAAAAAAACCTTTTCACCTTTCCTTCAATAAGTCATGTATGGTCAAGACTTTAGTAACATCACTAAATTACTATTTTACCATCTTGCCAAGTAAAGGTAAGTGAGCTGATGAACTTCTGTCCAATCAACACAGCTTCAAGTGTATCACAGGGCAGTATGAATGAAGGGATAGTGTTGGAGAAGAATTCAAAGGAAAGAAAGAGGGAAATAGCTCTTTTATAGGGCAGGGGCAAAACCTAGCTGGGTTGAAGGATTTTTGTTTTTTTCACTTGAGTCAAAAATACATGATTTTTAAAAGCCACAGTGATGGAGGGAAGTGAGAGGCAACAGGTTGGGCTGTTTATATAAAAGTTTAAAACATTTTCAGTTCCCAAACCACCAAGTGCTGAGGAGAGAAATGGTAAAGT